AGGGTTTCACTGTGTAGTCCTGGCTGTCCTGGATCTCACTCTGTAGACCAGGCTGGCCTCAAACTCACAGAGTCTGTCTGCCACTGCCTCCTGAGTGCTGGGATTAAAGGTGCGTATTGACACATCCAGTTTACTCCTCCACATTGTAAATGAATAAGTGTAAAAAAGGAAGTTCAAGGTCATTCATAGCTCTGTAGTTCGAGGTCTTGCTGGGATACAGGAGACTCATGCAGGCCAGGGCAGGTCCCACTCCAGCTTTGCTCCTCTGCTTTCACTGATTGGAGAGTTGTGGAGAGGCCATTTTATTTCCATTCATGCCTGGGAAAACTGTCAAGACACTGGGCAGATGGAGCTAAGGAATATTCTCTAAAAAAGAAATATTTCAGTAGGAAGTCTTTTAGGGGCTGGAGATGGCTCAGCAGTTAAGAGCACTGGCTGCTCTTCCAGAGGACCCAGGTTCAATTCCCAGCACCCACATGGCAGTTCACAACCACCTGTGACTCCAGCTTCAGGGCAATCTGACACCCTCTTCTGGCCTCTATCAGCACTGTACACACTCACTCACTCACACACACACAAACACACATATAAAAACAAAATAAGACTTAAAAAAAGGAAATTTTGTTTAATTTTGCTGGAGAGGTACTGTAAACTTGGGGTCCATTTGGGGTGTATTTCTGTTTCCCAAGGCAGAAAAGAAGAACATCAGTATTGGGCTCCCCAAAGGGCATCACTCTCCCAAAGATTAATGACCCCAAGTCTGACTTTTGGTGCCAATCTTCAAGAAATAATACACACACATGTACATAATACACACACACACACACACACACACACATGCACACACCCACATGTGTGCATACACCCCTCTTACATGTACATCCCCCACATTCATGCACCCACCCATACCCACACCCATGCACACCCCATACCCATGTGTGCATGCACACACATATGCACACACCCATATGTATGTGTGCAGACCACCCATGCACATCCCCCCATACTCATGCACACACACACACACACACACACACACACACACATGCATGCACACACGCATGCACACACTAGAGATATCACTCTTTCCCTGGGGGTGCCACAAAATGAGGCCCCGCTGTATTTTCTTTTGGGGTGCTGCTTCTGTGCCCCCCATTAGTCTCGATCAGTCCCTAGCAGGGATGAATGCAAACAAACTATCTTCCCATGCTCACTCCGCCCTGTCCACTGCCTCCCACGTGCTTCATTCCAGTGGAAATATCGACAGCTTCATAAACGTTCCAAAGCATTTTATAGGATTTTCCTATAATTTAATTGCAGGCCGTCCCTCAAGCCCCATCGAAGGTGACGTTTGGTCTCATAATCTCAGGTCTTATGAGTCCCAGGATGGGGCCTAGGCCTGGCTATTGTTTAAAAACTCCAGTTCCAGGGTATCTGACACCCTCTTTTAGCCTTCACAGGCACTGCATGCACAGACATACATGAGATGAAATACCCATACTTATCAAATAAAAATAAAGAAATAAAAATGAAAAAATGTCTAATTATATTTTAGTCTGTGTGTGTGCAACTGCATGCATGCGTGTATGTGTGTATGTGTGTATGTGTGTGTGTGTGTGTGTGTGTGTCTATGTATGTGTGTGTGCATGCACAAGCATATGAGTGAAGATGTGGGGGGTCAGAGGACATGTTCCAGAGGCAAATTCTTTCCTTCTCCTATGTAGGACTCTGGTCTCGAACTCGGGTTGTCAGGTTTAGTGGCAAGTACCTTACCCATTGAACCATCTCACCAACCCTGGAGGTTGGGTTTTGTTTTTCTTGCACTGGTGGTGGCATCTCTGAAGCTAGCCCCTCCTCTCCTACCCAGAGAGTGTGTGTTAGGATGGGTTCTGGGAAAGTCACCTGGGAAGTGAACAGACTATGAATGGCTGGGCAGAAAAAGCCTCCAGTCCCCAAATCCCAGTCATAATTTTGATGTTCCTGCTAGTGACATGTCAAGACTGTTCATGTAGCTTCGAGGAAGAAAAGGAAGTGACATTTCTTAAAATGTTTTCCGTACTGTCACACACATTTAATTCTCACTAAAGCTCTGCAAACAAACACCCAGATTCCTCCAACAAGGGCAAGAAATGGGCTTGGAAAGGCTGAGGGATGTGTCCAAGAACAGGGTTTACGGGTTGGGGAATCTAGGGCTGCAATCCCATGGACCTAACCCTCTCTCTAGTGAACACTTGACTTGGGTGGAGGAAGTTGGTTCTTGCTTTGGATGCTCTGGCCCTTGTTGCCTAGCAAATTCTGTGAACTCAACTTAAGCCCCACCCCCTTTAGGAGCTAGATGCACGCACTAGGTACCCCCTGGTTTTCTTGCTGAGCTCCCAGTAGGTAGGAATCCTCAGAAACACCCATGTGGGTGCTTCCTCCCTGAGAGCGGCTCCTCTCCCAACCGTAATGGGCAGGAATTGGAAAGGATGGTGCTGAACTTGTGTTTTCCCTGCAGCGTCTCTGCTACCCCAATAGTCCTCTCTTACTTTCGTGTCTTTTCTGTTGTTGTTGTTTTTGCAGAAATAATGCATGCAAACAAATAGAATGGTGCATCATTTGAAAGAAGGAAATAAGCCCCACAGGATCTTATTATAAAATGACTAGTGAGAGTCACAGCAAGAGACTGGGACAGAATATCGTGGGGTCCCCGATGCCTGACTTCTTTTCTGGCCCATGGCCTCCAGCTCCTGAGAGCTTCTCTGGCTTCTGATTTCTCCCCATGACCATTCGCTCCTCTTGGAATCTGCTTCTCAGACAGGTTCCCACCATGGAGTTTTCCCTCCAGGATTGGTAAACAGTTGGGAATGAAGCTTAGAAGGGATTGAAATGAGTGGTCCAGTGGGTTGAAAGCCACGTGCTGCTTCGGTTTCTTAGCCTTACACTTTGCTGGCTTGGTGTTTGGCATATGTGGAGTCCATGTGCAAGTTCAGGAGCCAGAGAGGCAACAGTGGAATTCTCCAGCCAAGGACTTAAGGCCCCACTTTCACAAAGGCAGCTCAAATCCCCAAAATGGGGGCACTCAGAGGTATAGTCAGTCCAGTTATCTTCAGCATCAACTCACCCAGATTGCAAGACTTGAGATTCCTTGACAATCTTATCTCTGGTAAGTGGATAACTAGTTGCTTTGCTTATAAGACCAAGGAAAGATATTAACTCACTCATTCATCCACCCATCATCCATCTGACCATTTATCCATCTATCTACCTACCCATCATCCACCTACCCATCATCCATCCATCCATCCACCCATCATCCATCCATCCATCATTCAACCATACATCATCTATCCATTTATCCATTGTTCACCCATCCATCATCCATCCATCCATCCATCCATCCATCCATCCATCCATCCATCCATCCATCCTTCATTGACCCATCCATTTATCCATCATCTATCATCTATCCACCCATCCATTCATTTATACATTCATATTCTAAACATGTGATGTCTTCTATTTGTCACTTATAGTTAGATATCTCCTCTTTCCTTCCTTATGTTGTCTAATTTAACATTCTAACATCTAATAAGCTCCTTTAAATTCAGGATTGGGGTGAAATAGGAAGCTCAAAATGTTTGAACAGGAAAGATCTTGGAGCTTGTGAGGGTGTGCTATTAGAAAGGAGGTGTGGAAGGCAAGAGGCCCCACTTGCTATTGTCAGAAGCAAGAGACACAGCAGTAAGGGGTGGATGGAAGAAGCAAATTCACGTTCCTGTTTTTCTTTTTATGTGTAGCCCAAGCTATCCTCAAACTCTCCATCCTCCTGCTCCAGCCTCCTGAGTGCTGGATTAGAAGTAAATGCCACTATACCTGACTCATGTACCTTTTAAAAGACAGCACTTTATTCCTTTTTTGGGTGCATATGCGTTTGCATGTGTGTGCACATGCTATGGCATGGATCTTGAGGTCAGAAAATTATTTGCAAGGAGTTGGTTCTCTCCTTCTATTGTGTAGGTTCCGGGGCTCTAACTCAGTTTGTGAGGCCTTGTGGCATTCGCCTTTACCAGCTGAGCCGTCTGTGGCCCCCTGTGCACATTCTGAAGTCTTCGTTTTCAGTTCTCAAGGAGACAGCTGAGTTTTCCTTTGCTAAATTCAAATAAGCTCTTACCATTGATTGGCCCGAGTTGGATACAGACTAGCAGAAGCAGAAGGAGAGGCAGAAGGTTTTGGTTTCTGCACTTGGGGAACTTAGGTTATCAAGCACACAAGGCAAGAT